TATGCTTAGAAAAGGAGTGGGCTCAGAATCAGACAACCTGGTCTCATCTATGTGACTGCTGCATGAGTTGGAGCCAGTTAACCTGCAACTCACTTTCCCCACTGTAGAGTGGTTGTTGATGGGTGTCATTAAGATTAAGCGATGTTGGATGATGCTAAAATTTACTGTGCTTGGCACTTACTAAGTACTGAGTAACGGCTAGCTATGAGTATTTGCCTTTCGATTCAGTGGCCCAATTTTCCCCCGCTGTCTTTTTCTGTTCACTTTTAGAACACAGAGAATTGTGTACAGAAACTCCTGGAGGAATCTTAGAGACTTTTAATTTGTAGTGTCTTGAAGTATTTGGAATTGGATTATTCCAAACAGGAATTTCTTTTTTTGCAGAAGAACTACAGAGAAGGCAAACTATAACCCCAGTTTCTTGCCTGCCTTCCAAGCCATGTCTTTATTCTATTTTTAACAATTATTTATTTAAATTTTCTGTAGTGCAGGGAATTGGATCCAGCACCTTGCACATACTGGGTGAGCACTCTGCCACTGGGCTACACTCGTAGGCCCTTTATTCTGCTTTTAAATTTAGTTGCTCCAACAAATAGATTTGACAGAGTGCCGCCCAGGTCATACTTTCATTTCATGTGTTCATGTGGAGAATACATCGAAGTCTCCTCCGACTGCTTTGTAATTTGCCTTAAATTTAATTCCCTTAAAATGAATCACTGGATGTGTGCATTGTAGGAACTGCTGGAAGAGATAAATATCACCAGAAAATACTCACAGACTTTTTCCTTATTATTGGACTCGCATGAAAGTTACAATTAAAATTAGAGTTTAACTCCTTGGTGTCTATTAAAGTCCTTCTGACTTTCTCTGGCCTCTGGTCAAGTAAATAGTAGGTATGTTTATAGCTGCAATTCAAATACCTCAAGAAATTCACCAACCAATGAAGAATCTTTATTCTTCAAAGTCACCAGAGAAGGCAAGTTCTGATACAGTTTCAGCAAGGCATCCCAGAAATGCTTGATCTCATACTTCTGTGCACTATAATAAATAAATACAGTTTGATTTCATCTTAGAGTGATTAACCTAAACTTTTCCTTCTGGAATGTAAAGTAGAAAAGTGTTCTATAGCTCTTTGAACATTAGATTGGAAAGAAAATGTCCTAAACATTCTGCTTAATTAAATCCTAAAGAGGTGGTACGAATTTTTCATGATTAATTGAAACATGCATATTTTGACTGATGCATATTTATACAACATCATATGAAGATTTTATTGTGTCATACAAACTGTTCACTCTGGGAATGTGATTTAATGCTGTAAACATTCTGTATTTGCTCTTGTGTTGTTCATTATGAAGAATACCAGTCTAGTGGCTCTGATAATGCAATTATAAAAATCTGCTCTGTGACTCTTTTTCAAGGTAATATCAAGTCTCTGACGGCACAGACCTTTAGCCTAGATAAGAGATGGGAAATTAGGTTATCTCTAGTTTGAAGGAATTTTTAAAAATAAAAATATTTAAAGCAGATCAAGTTAGACAAACTAAATGCTGGGGCTTTCTATTTTGCCAGTGTAAAGCATGAATGTTTCAGGTTGAAAAAAAAGACATAATTGGAATGAATCAATTTTTTTGGCTGTAATTGTTTACCAAAAAAAAGTTCACTTTTTTAGAGGTATAGTCATACTAAGATGGGGCACAATGTCATATCTGGTGGCAGAATTTGAACTGTATTTTAGTTGACAAAACTAATTCAGATAATCACAGTTCTTTTCTAGTTTCTTAAGAATAATGTTAATATCAATGACTTACAAGACTAGAATATCTGACCTATCTGAAAATGTTTTCTTACATTTTTGGAATAACCATTTTGGGATCATTAGCTGTTAACAAATTAGAAGACAAAAAGGAGAAATTTGGTGGAAGTTTTCCAAGGTATTCACCTTTATAAAACAGAATTTTATGAAAAATGGGTGGGAACACTGATTTATTTAACAAGACAGATGCTAATGACAATTCTAAGAGTTTTCCAACTGTCAGATACAAAAGTGCACAATTCTTTCATCTCATCTTTCCACACTGTTGCTTTGCAGAAAGAATGACTTATGAAGCTAATATGTTTTAAAATTCTACATTTTGTTTATTTGTTAGGTCTATGGTAAGAATGCATCCTTCCCTCTCTTTAGGAAATGACAAGTGGGCCTGTCTGGATGATGGAGTAAAGCAGGAGAAAGACCCTGGCGCTGCCTTTGGGCCCCAAGTACCCTCCTCCAGGCCAGGCCCAGGGGCTGGCTAAGCACGGCCTTCTAATAATGTTGCCTTCTACCCTTTTTCTCTCACTTTTAGTTCATTAGAGTTGAAGACCTAGGACTTTAAAATCAAATCTGATGCTTTATTTCTCAATCTAGACTATTTAAGGAAGAAGCTATGAGAGGAACCCAATGGATGTTCCCAAATGGATCCTTGGGAAATTGGTCTCCTCATTAAACTGTGAGGCCAAATGATTTCCTCCTTTAGGAAATGACATGTGTAAGGAAAAACATAAAAAATGTTTTTCCTTACAGTTGTCACCAGAATCAAGGTTATTGCCAGTAGATCCTTTGTGAGAGTGTTCTGCTGAATTATCTTCTTTTTCAGGAATTTAAGACATGAAAGCACTTAATTGATTGGGAAAAATAGAAACTATTAGTGGCAGTTAATTGATGATTGAGCATTACTCTTGAAATGTTACTTCTAAGAAAATTCTGCCTTACTTTAAATTGTAGAGCTTTATTAATTTTTCCTACCATGTAATATCATACCAGCATGTAATACCATGCTGTAGTAGAAATCATATAAAATATAAATAAAAGCTTTTCTTCAAGAGAACAAATTGCTGCATGCAGTAATTATTTTCATTCAAATTATGACTTCATATAAAGGAAGTTATGTTATCAAAAATGTTTGATTAATATAAAAATATTTTTTATACCATCTCATTTGATAATTAACAATAGATCACAGTTTATAATTTGTGAAATAGAAAAGGTCATTAAAATGACAATATTTATTCCACTAAGGTACATAAAGTGCTGCACGTAGTTCTGCGTGATGAGACTCAAGGGGAAAGAAGCCATATCACTGCATTACAAATTAGTTTGCTTCTAATTTTGCAGGCTGATGACCACACTGCCTCAAACCAAATCTTTTCCCTGGAAATGGAATGATTGCATGACAGACTCTATGAACCATGAATATGTCAACAACTCATGGACCAGACCTTGCTTAGCAATTAGTCTTTGGGGGATTTTATTCAGAAATCAGACAACACTATACCAGAGATTGTTGGGACTTTTGTGATTACCATTCATGTCTGGAGCATGAGTCGGGGTTAGTACAAAAAACAAAACCCAAAGCAAACACAAAAATCCAGTTTCATAGAAGAAGAAGAGTTATGGCTAATAGTGCAACCAGGCACACACACACACACACCCACACACCCCCACACACATGCACACACACACAGCTGTGAGGACAGAGAATACTCGAGAGACAGTAGAAGCCCCTACAAGACAGCAAGAAAATATTTCTTAGGTTTTTAAAGTTCCTTTCAGGTGGATGCAGGGGCACACACCTGTAATTCTAGCATTTGGGAGACTGAGGCAGGAGTATAACAAGTTTGAATGCTACCTGGGTACCTTAGTGAGACCCTGTCTCTAAAATAAAACAAAAGAAAATGAAATTGGGCTAAGACATAGCATAGTGGTAGAGTGCCCCTAGGTTCCATCCCCAATACCACACAAAAAAATCTCCTTTTATTCCCCCCAAAGAAGGCCAGAGTTTTCCACTTGAACATTGCCATCCCAATCCCATCCCATACTCCCAGCTTCCCCTTTACCCCTTACTGGTAAGTGAACTCCAGGGCTTTCACAATGAGCTGAGCTACACCTCCTTCCCTGTTTGGTTGTTTTGTTTTTTATTTTGAGACAGGGTCCTTGTTAAGTTGCCCAGGCTGGGCTCAGCCTTCTGCCTCAGGCTCCCACAGTGCTAGGATTACAGGCATGCCACTGCCATGCCCTGCAGCCATCCCAGTTTTTGTCATAATTTCTTCCCACCTTCGCTATGATTTAGTCTATATTAACTGTCTTTAAAAGCTTTTCTTTTTTTAAATCAATAATGGTTGTGATATTGGCTCACTGTGCAAGTTAAATTTGCTTTCTTCTCGTACAAAAGAAAAGAAGTGCAGCAATTTGAATAATAGAAATATTCACATCCTACCTGAAATCACTCAGAGCATCCCATCAGTCCAGCTGAGAATGACCTGACACCACCACTCACATCCCTCCACCCAGGGACCATGGACCACATCACATGCAGAATGTTAGCAGGCCTGAAGCTCCCTGTGGACAGCAGCTCTGGAAAGCTGCCGCGTAGGAAACTGCTTAGTGAGCCAGGCCTGTGTCTTCCCATTGCCAGAATCTGGCCACTCACCACTTTCCTGTCTTTGACTAAACACATGGTTTGAGAATCATCATATTTCAAGAGTAAACAACAGCCCATATCATTTAACAGTAATAGGGAACACACTATGGTAGAATCTGGCTCGACCGTTGAAGTTCAAGCAAGGGCCTTGCTTTTGTAGGTTATCACTCTACAAATTGTCTCACCCAACACGGATCTGGTAGACCTCCAGTAAGACCTTTATAAAAAATGGGTCATTCATTTTACAAGCTTGATCACTTTATTGCAGGGGCTGGTTGAAGTAGGCAGATGGAGACTAGGTTAGAAGTCCTAGGAACTCTTGTAGCTCTGCAATCTTGCTCTGGTTTGAAAGCGAAATGTCTTTAGGAAACGTTAGCCCCCCTTCTCACTGCTGCAAGAGCTGGCCATCCTAGCTGGCCAGAAGATGGGTGAGGCCTGGAAATGAATCACACCTAGGAGGTCTAGCAGGTGCAGGGTGTGTCTAAGTTTGAAGGGATGTTTGCTTCTGATATGAACATTTTTCTTATACTTTTGTTATAGAAGATGATGTGTCAAATGTACAAATAATGTGTGCCTGGTGCCAGAAAGTGGGAATCAAGCGCTATTCCCTGAGTATGGGAAGCGAGGTGAAAAGCTTCTGCAGCGAGAAATGCTTTGCGGCCTGCCGGCGAGCCTACTTCAAGAGGAACAAGGTAAGCGCCGAGGGCGGCCGCGCGCCCCCCTACCCCGCGCGCGCGCATGCGCCTGCAGCCGCTATCCCCACACTGCGCCCTGGCCCTGCTGTACCCCCATTCTTTTGTCTGTCTGTTATCTGTCATGCTTAACCTTTTGGAGTAAGGGACCCCCTTCTAACGTGTAACCTGTTCTTCAGTTCCTCTTGGCTTGGTGTTTGAATTCTGAGAGGGTAAATGAATCTGATGAGGACACCGTGACCACAGTTGGTGTCCTGATGGGAAGTTGGTTTCCTGTAGTAGAGGGCACAGTGTAGGACCCACGAAAGAGGGGTGTTGCGGGGCGGGGTCTACCGAGAGCCGAGCAGCTAGCTGCAGAAGAATGGCTAGAAAACTTCAGTCCACTCAACTCCTGTTCCCAGAGGGGAATATTGCTGTTGCTTTTTACCAAAACTGGACTCACAAACTCTAGTCAAGAAAAGCATCAAGTCTCTCTTGACACTGTGTTAAAATGGATTGATCTTGACAAAAGGAGAAATTACCATTATATAAACCAGCATTGCTTACACAGCCAAGCACTTGTGAGAAGCGTGGTGGATAAACACAGGAACGGCCCTGGTTATAGTTTCTGTTTTGTTTTAAAAGACATACATACTGTCCTCTTAGAATAGTATTAGCCACCACTGATGGGAAATGAAATGCATGGTGACAGTCACACACACACACACACACACACACACACACACACACTTCTTAATCCTTAACTGATATACATAGCATTTTGCACCAAGTACTGAAATTGCTAGTCCTTGATTATTTTTCATTGATCCATAAAGCTTCTTTAATTCATAAATGGTCCACATTTTGCTAAGCATTTCCATAATACAAGATCAAAATCTACCCTTTCTTGAAGCAAACAGTATTTTTTTTTAAATCTAAGATTTGCAGCCCTGAAATGCTAATCATGGCCTCACCGAGTTGCAAGAACCACTGTTGCATCAAATTATCTCCTGCACATTTGGGTCACATTCATTCTGCCAAAAAACACAATGCCTGAAGAATTAGGCTGCAGATTTCAGCAGGGCAGAATTTTAGTAGCAGTCTCTAAGAATTAGACTCATAATCTGCACTGAAAAAGGGAGGCAAGTAAAGAAATTGTTTGGAATTCTTTTGGGATGATCGACAGACGAGTTCACTTTCCCTTGGGAGAGGCCAGTGATGCTCTGGAGGAGGGTGGGAAGGAGGACACATGGGAGACACGTTTTGTTTTAATAAAGGGGGATTAAAATGATCCTCAAAACCCTGGGGCCCTCATTTTGAATACTGAGCACTGGGGTTACAATCCCAGGAGTGGGTCCAGAGCTTTCTTCTTCAAAGCCCAACTTACCACAACAAAATACTTCACATTCCAACTCAGAAGATGGCTACAGAGCAGGCCTCTTTGTATTTTTGTAATTCTGAAGGGTCAAGGGTCTGAACCTTGATGGGCTGTGCGTAGTAAATAAAATCAAGCAAGATACATTTGTTACAACCCGGTGATGTAGTTGCACTTTACAAAGTGACTGTACTTTATAGTAAGCCTTTAAAGAAATACACCAGATACCATTTGGAAAAGGAGTCCAGCTTTAAAAAATCACTATAAAATTTAAAATCAAACTAAATTTAAAGCTTCCACAGTATACATTTTTGAAAAATGGATACTTGCAAGACAGGGTAAGAATGAGGATTTGGAATACTTACAGCAGGTAAAATCAACAGTGGGAGGAGGACCATTTATATTTCACTTCCTTCCAGGAGTAACTGGGGCAGGTCTCTGAACCTCTTGAGAAACCCGAGAGTTGCAGGGATTTGATACTTAGCCAGTGACTTTGTGGGCTAATCCCAGGAACCCATTAGTGTATATACAATACCTGTCTTCTCCGCAGTCTTCACTCTTATTTATGTATTCCAAAGCTCTGCCATACTATGCTTTCTCTTTTTCAAATTGAGAAATAAACTTGTATCACTTGCTTGATTCATTTAACTTTTTTTTTTAAATTTTAAGAGTGTTATTTCTGCAACAATATTATATTGTATTATGACAAACATGTACAGTGGCTGCATTTCTGTGAACTGATAGAATTTTGTGGTCATTTCATTTAGGACTTGGGTTTCCTAATGGATTGAATTAGATACCAGCCTCCATCCTGCCACTTCTAAGAACTGGGGTAGTAAGTCCCAGAGTGTTCCCTTGAAGGCAATAGCGAAAGGCTACTTCTTTTCCTGTATCGTTTAACAAAGGCATTAGGCCTCATTATTAAAGTTGTGAATGTAATCTTAGAAAAATTCTTCTCAATTATACATAACAAGTTTTTTTTTTTTTCTGGCTAAATTCTGTTCTTTAAATATTGAGAAGTATGTGGAAAACAGGGTATGTAATGCATGTAGACTAGAATTTGTCTTAGGTACATTGTAGTTTTTTTAAAAAAAAAACATGCAAAATTAACTGTGCTGTAAATTATGCTTTATAATGACAGCCCATTTTTTGCTGGATAGCATGCTGGGATCTAAAAATGGTGTCTAAGTTGAACCCAAATTGCATGCATATCTTTACAAAGAAAAATCCTAGTAGAAAAGGTAGCTAATTAGGAGCAGTATTCAGCTGACCTCTGTTTTGTGTCTGAGCAACACCTGCATTTATGAATGTAAATTGGACAGCTGTGCCTATGGTCCTGTGCCTTCCTCATCACAAATGCCTGGGTACAGAAGCAGGCATCACTTTCCTGCCGAAAACAAAGGCAAAAATAGCCTAACTCTCAAAATGAAGGCCACCAAAAGTGGACTCTAAATTCCTGCTTCTCAAGCCTTCCTTTCTTCTTTGGGTCTCTGGGTGTGTTGAATGGAGTAGGCTGACAGTCATCTCACAAATACTAGCACTGTGAAATCAGGTGGGATAGAGAGAAGCCAAGTTAACCCTTTAGGACTTGTAAGTTACATTTTTTTTTAACTGAATTTGACATTTCACTTCAATTGAAGTGTTATTTGGATTGCTACAAAGTATATACACCTTTTACAAACTACTTCTGCTTAACACTGCTGGGAAAGGGTGGTGAATCACAGCTGTATTCACTTAAGGAATCTAGCTACAAGTTTACACATTTCAGGATGTTGGCCCTGAGAACTGTATAGTGTTAATTCATAATGTATTTTGTAGATACAAAGCCTCAATTGCTGGCTCAAAAGTTTTTGAATGAGTAAGGGAGGAAAAAAAAAACCTCAAAACACTTATGTAGTCTGTGGGTACTGAGCGAACAATGGGATGTCCGTTTGGTTACTTGAAACATGAGAGACTTCAGGGGACTAACAGCTTGGTCCTTTCCCAGCCCCTTGTGAGGCCAGAGTAAAGCAGGACTTCAGAATATTTTTAGCCCACTGATTCGCTGAGGAGTTAGAAAGTTGCAAAGTCTTCTTAATGGTTTTGCAAGAGATGCAGAAAAATTGAGTCCAACACTTTAATACCAGTTTTACTTTGCACAATAACAGAACCTTAAAAATATCCTTTGTAACTATTATTCTTCTGAAAAGGAGAGTAAGGAACAAGACCCTAGATAGGAGTCATTTTCACAGAGCTTGTATTTGATCTTTTTCCTTTTGCACGGGAGATGCCTGTTGTCTAAACTAATATTGAAAAAAATCAACAGAAAGTCAAAATTCGGGGAAAATGGACAATGTAATCAAGGTAAAAGATGATTTTTTTTCTTGGTCAAATCTCAAGTTTATAGTGTGCTTTGTATATAAATAGAATTGATAATTTAGTAATAAACATAAATTGTTAAAAGCCCCAATTTTGCTTCCTTATTCTACTCTAGTTTTCTCATAGTTTGAAACAGTAAGCTGGGTGTGGTGCTGCACAGCTGTAATACCAGCAACTCAGGAGGCTGAGGCAGAAGGGTTGCTGGGGGTTTGAGGCGAACCTGAGCTACATAGTGAGATCAAGGCTTTGTATAGTGAGAGCTTATCTCAAAAACAAAAGCCCCAAAAAACAAAAACCCCAAACCAAAACCAAAACAAACAAAAACCCAAAATAAGAATAGATAAAATGCTTCTTCAGTCTCATACTGTTGCTGTTCTCCAGTAGACAGGCCATAGTGGAAAGAACGTTATGTTTGTATAAAGATGATAGCAGCACATTAAAAACAAAGATATAGACAGAAACCACTAAGATTTCCTAACAACCACTGTAATAATAACAAATATTCAATGGGAGGAATACTGTAAAATAAGCATTTCTTCTACTTTCATCCTATGTCCCTGGATACATAGGGATCTCATTAAAAGTAAGCCCTTTTGGGGGAACCCATTGCTAATTAGTTGTATCATATTATTTGTAGTTACATTTGGCTGAGACATAAACCATATTATATTACACTATCTTTATGTTATACTTGCACATATCTTAGGAAAAATTTCTTGGTTTCAGACTTAATTATAGAATCTAGTGGTGCAGAAGAAATGTGTAACAATTGCCCTCTTAATCTAGTGATTAACTTGTCTACTTTTTTCCCCCTTAAACACCTGCAAGACTTAATTTGCAAAATGGCTATCATTCATGAAGGTTTGGGAGAAGGACATTGAGAAATTACTTGCAATTAATGTCCCTTGACTGCCTGAACTTCAGGCCACAGACTTGCTTTTGCCATTGCTTATATTTATCCTTGGTCCACAAGTAAATGAGCCCCGGGGAGCCTAAGAGTTTTTCCTGTGTATTCACTTTTTTTTCAGGTGCCAGGGAGCCTATTGGGTCTGTCTGCAGCTTGGCCTGCAGAATGATAGCTTTGGTCCTGCAGCTCTATACATCCGGAGCTGTAAGCCTGCCCATACCCTGCGTGTATGTGCAGGGCTGCCTTCTTCCTGGGCTTTAGTTTGCAGGCCAGTCAGTGGCTGACTCCCCTTTTAGAAACAGCAAACAGAGTTGTCCTTTGGAAGCTCTGGGAAAAAAGAACAACAAACCTAACTGTTTTCTTGTTCTTTCATATTTTGAA